ATTGTTGCCGTCACTTCTTGGCGGTCTTATATACATGAATACCGCATATCTAGTAAACACTCGAGGCTTCAAGAAGGTACATGAATTTTCTAGAAGCGCATGACGTGTTACTAACGTTACGTGACCTCCGCTGTCGTAACAACATAGGGAGAAACCTATAGGCCGTTTATTATAGATCTAGTCAACGAACGTTATCACAGACTGAAATAGGCCTAGTTTGATTTGACATGTTTGGCAGTAATATTACTAATAATAATAATAGTCCGTTATGCGTGCAGTTTAATTAATACTGTCAAACAAACATGAATTACAAACTAAATATATATTTTTGTTTCGCAATAGATCTATGTAAACACTGAACAGTATTGATAGTGAAGCCACAATTCACCAATTACCGCTCATAAACGAATACCTTATCATGAAACACAGGTCTTCATCTTGATTAATAGCCATAATTCTTTTCTTCCTTAAGACTTCATTTGACGAGAATTCGTGGAAAGATACATTTTTGTGTTCTTTGACACTTATTTTTCTTTATAACGCCAGTTATTGTTGAAATTCGGCACCAAGCAATGGGCCGTGTTGTTAGCACTAGACTAGCACCGATAGCCTATAGATATCTTCAACCTAGCCTAAAAACTTACTTCTATGCTTACTGCTTGATCAAACGATAAGAAACAGCGTGTTGGGTGCAAAAGGAAGGAGCCTATCTTATAACGCTAAGAAAATGTGGAAGGAAGAGATTTGATTGGCCGAGGCTTATCATTCGATTAGCGTGACTAGATCTAGCCTCCGCTTATACAAATATGCTAGGTCAGAGCTAGGCGACATTTAGTCACACTATTCAAAAGCAATCAAATATCTACACTCTACATGGCACGATAGGCCTACTCAAGTCACACACAAGCTCTCTCTCTCTCTCTCTTTCTTCAAAAATAAGAAGACTCGGTCGAATTATTTTCATTAAGCACGCTCCTAAAAAATGAAGACGTGTGTAATTTTAATAACTGGCCTTTTTTTGGTTTTGGGACTACAAACCCAACAGCCCCCGCCTTAATCCGCCCCTGGATATTTATGCATATTAGATTCTTAAATACTGTTACCTATCTGCTTGTTTGTTAATTTCTGGTAGAAATTCCTTCCGAAGAACTTCAGCAATACAAGTCCTGTCTTTATTAAAACTAGTTTATTATTTCTTGATACAACTTTTAGTAATACACAGAATTTCCACAGTCACTTTAAACTTAACTACTTTTGTAAACACACACTATAATTCATAGAGATTCACACACTTTATTTAAAGTGCCTACTGTTCGCTTGATTCAATTATCTATATCTCCAACCACGCTGGTTTTTCTCGCCAGGCTTATATACTAAAAAGAGGGCGTCTCGAACGCACTAGGAAATTCATGATCATTCGAGAAACTCCAGCGCGCATGCTCCCAGTGTCGCGTGACTTCCGCTGTCGTAACACTATTTACTTTTATCTACATTTGGTTTAATATTTTATCTATCGCACTGTTTGTATGATTTTGTTCGCGTTTATTGGGTTAACTAGTACGGCTACTAAAACAAGCAAACAAACAGTAAGAAATTAGTCTTGATTAAAATATTAATAAAAAAGATAAAAGATCATTTATGAGTGGTGAACATAGAGTAAAAGTTCATATTTGTACAGCGTTTTCACGAACACTTTCTTATTAATATCCTATTATAATTAATGCGTTACGTTTTATAGTTATTATTTTGTTTCGTTTCTTTTTTGAGGGAGAGAATATCATATTTTGAAAAAGTTTCGTGATGATATTGTGACATTTCAAACTTGAAATAAATAAGACATTAACATCCTAGGTCCAAATGATAAAATTTGATTAGCGACCTCTTCATGGAAAATGAAACATCATTTATAAGATTCTTGCAGTCGAGATTTAGCTGTCACGCGTTTTAAAAATGGCGGTCATGGAAGGTCAGTTATGTAAGTGGACAAATGTAATGAAAGGTTGGCAATATCGATGGCTCGTATTAGATGATAATGCTGGATTATTGTCATATTATACGGTGAGAAGGATTAGTTTGTTTTTTTATAAAGTTAAAGAGCAGCTGCTGTTCAGTATGATATTAATTTAAAGTAACTTCACTAAGTACATTTAATATCAATATTATTATCACTGATGACTGGTAGTGATGTTTTATGACGTGCAAATGATAAGTTTAGAGGCTCCCCCTTCTAAAGTGTGATAATAGTTAATAATAAAGTAATAAAATATTGTTATAATTAAATGTGTTGACCATAGTGTACGGCACGTTCAATACATAGTAGTACTAGTACTAGTAATTTTAGTTTGCTATGAATATGATTAACCTGAAATGCTACATTGTAAAACTAAATCAAATTAAAGCGAATGTACAGAGCTGTGTATGATATTACTGAGCCTAGAATAAAATTTCCAGTTTTAGGATATTTATAATTTCAATATACAGGTTATTCAAAATCATACAAATTTTATCAGTATTGTTTTTTTAATCGTCTGAGTGTTGAATTAAGCATTATAAGTTATAGTCCGAATTTTTTGTAAGTGTTGTGATTCATTAAATTTTAAAATTACCATGACAGTCGAAACACATATTTCATTTCAATTATATTTTAACTTTAGTTTAACCAGAGCAATTGTATGATGTGAATATGCTAAGGCAGCTGAGGCTACATATATAGATTGAACAATTACAAAGTTATTTATTTTTTAAAAGAGGGATGATGTTTTGAGATATTGCTCTTTGTCAGATCGTACAGTTTACAACCAATGCGTGTGTGTGTGTATATATATGATCAACTTGAAAGGATTTTATAGTTTTAACTATACACACTATTGTTTTGGAATGTTACATATTACTAAATTAAAGCTACCTAGTACAACTACACAGTCACAAAATTGCCCACAATATTCAGTAGTGAAGGTAACATAGTTATGAGAGGATACATATACACAATAGATATCCATGGCATACTGATGGTTACATCATGATTGCTTATGTTTTGACATGTATTTCTGTCTAACACCACATAGCAAGGTATGATAGATAAAAATATTAGTTTCGTGAGGGTTGAGACAGCTGATGTTATTCTGAGCAAGCTTTTCTGTCATTAGATGAAACATTCTGTGGATTTTTTTTTCTTTTTGATATGAGTGACAGTATAGAAATAATTAACTGTGATCATCTGTTGCCTGATTGGCAGAGATATGCACACTGTATTTTCTGTGTCATCTAGGTTAAATTTGGTCAGATTACGTTAGCTTATATCTACAGGTTATGAGAGGTGAGGTTGGGTTACTTCAGGTTTACCTTTAAGTAGTATCTGGCTCACCTAGTTGTAGTTAGTAATACATAAAGTTACACAATAGTTGTACATACAATCAAACTGTAAGTTGCTTTCCTGATGGGTGTTTATTGTTTTCATTCAACACATACACAACGGTCGTGTAATCGTTTTCATTTCACTGTGTATGAAATGGCCAACTATATATCCTATTCAACAACTGGATACAGGTATTGTGTATGTAGTCACAACCAGTTCTGGCCAATTTAAATACATTATTAACTCACAGCAATACTTGTAATGTTTGTTATCTTGTGTTTTACTTATTAATACTGCTAATCAGTGTTATTAATGACTGGACAAAAGTCATTTTAATTAAATATAAGTATATTATTAGAAAATTTATTTTGCATTCAAGTTTTATTAAGAAAGCTATTTTCTGATGTTGCATGATAACCGTTAACCATTTCTTAAAACTTTTTTTTTTTTATAGTACATACTATCATAAGGGTGTGTGTGTATACTTCTCATTTGATGTGATAATCATTTTGTTACTCTTTTTAGTCAAAGGAGAAAATGATGCGAGGTGCTAGGAGAGGATGTGTAAGACTCAAGGTTAGTCCTAACATCATCACAAGTATTGTTTGAAATTCTATTAAAAAATCAAAACTGTTTCATTATTGTCAGGGTTAGTAGTGAAGATCTTTCACATTCAGAACACACATATTGTACAAGTTTCTTTTATCAAAATGTTATAAGCAAGTATTAAGACTAATTTTAATTCTTCAGTGTTTTAAATTTACGAAATAATTTTAAAAAATTTCATTCTGTATATTTATGATTCAGAAAACTGAAGGTTGATATGAAGGAAACTAATTTGACCTAGAAAAAATTTTAAGGCCCCAAGGAAAAATATATTACATATTGCATAAAAACTGGAGAAAACAGCTTTTACAACTAGAATTCTAAGTTAACTTATGTAATTGTTTTGTTTTTAAGTAGAAATCAGATTTGTATAATTGAAAACTTTCATCTGTTTGCAACACACTTTAAAGCACTAAGTTTTTGTAATTTATGGAGAGGCAACAAAAATAAGCTACATCAGAAGAGGAAGGTTGGGAAGTTTTTACAGTTTTGGCTTTGTTTATATTTTAATTGGAATTTGTTTAAAACGAAAGTATGCTTATATTTTCATCGATTGTTTATTTTGTTTGGCTTTTAACCAAAGGGAGCCGTTATTGGAATTGACGATGAAGATGATAGCACCTTCACCATCACTGTGGATGGAAAAATATTTCACTTCCAAGGTGACCCCATAAACAAAGATTTTAACATATTAGTCTTTAAAAAATAATTGGTATTCTTCCTAGATGCATAAAAAATAGATAAAATTGTTTTAGTAAATTTCTTTTTCTTAATATCCTTTATCTGTGGTTTTTCATAATTATGAAATTATGTAGAAAGGTAAAATCTGATCTTAGATTTTTATATATATTAATTACATAATGTTTTTACTGAATCAAGAGCACAAGATTTTATATCTATAGAGAACAGGTAAATTTATAAGGTGACTTATTTTGTACTAAATAATACCAATAATATATGTAACTAAATAATCCTGTAGTTTTGTGTTATTATGTTTTTAATTTGTAAGATGTTCATAATAACTTAAACAATCTCTATAAACATGTACCAGACTAACAAGAAGCATATTCTTACTGTAACTGAAGCTAACTTTTTATATTTTTAACTCTAGCTGAAAATGCTGATGATCGAGAAAAGTGGGTTTCAGCATTAGAAGAAACTATTGTGAGACACACTCCAAACCGAGGAAGTTATTACAAGGTAAGGTTAAAAAAAATTTTCTTAAGATTCACCATAATAATAATTTGATTATCTTAGCTATAGATGTAAATTTGTGTGGATGTATTAGGTCATCAAGAAATTAATGTTGCTTTTTTTAGATTAAAAAGACCCGAACAACTTGTATATCAAAATAAAACATTT